CTCGTCAGCGGATTCGAGACAGATTACGAGCAAGCGCACTCACCACTGGATACCGTGCACACCCGAGGACGACGCCTTGTAGTGACAGTCGCGTAGATTGCGGGAATCGGTGCGTGGCCCGCCCTGGCCACAGATATCCCACCAGCGCCGCCGAGGATGCGATGATGCGCAGGCAGTCGTCGTGTGTGGGAAGTACGCTGCATTGTTCTCCCCCGAGCAGCCCCAGTCGCCGAGTTAGGCGGGGATACGCCGCAGAAGCGGAAGCAGACTTGGTGGGCGGAAGCAGAGAGTGGGGGACGCGTGAATCAGCCGCGCGCCGAGCTCCGAGTCGGCCACGTTCCCCGGCGCCAGATTCGCGCTTGTCCCCTTTTGGCAACTACGTTCGGGGCCGCAGTCGGCCACTCGCCCGTCGCCGTCGCCCGCAGTCTCCTCAGCCTCTCACCGTCTCTCCCTTGCCTCTCTTGGCGCGCAGACAGCGCGGCCTCTCCCGCTCTCAATCAATGTGGCGTCTCGTGCACTTCGCCGTCAAGCGTAGGTTCCAGGCAACGAGTCTGCGTCCGTCATTATTCTGAACCCGACAGACGACAGCACATGGTACACTCGATCCTCCCCCTCCCCCACACGCTACGCCTTCTGCACCACATCTCCCATTTCCCCTTCATACTGTCTAACACATTTCTAAGGCGTCAATACTGAGCGCTTTCCAGCTCCCGGTTGCGGTTCGATCTAAACCGAGCTGATGTCAGTGGTTGGCGCTCTTTCATCAATTCATCGCGGTACCGCACCGTCATCGCTAGTAGCAGTAGACCCCCAGGGCGAACAGTCCTGCGATGGCCGCAAATATCGTCAGAAGGTACCCACGAGGAGTTGGGCTTGCCCCTTCGCGGTAGTACTCTCCACTGCGGCCCAGAAACCGGTGGAACACGTCGTTTGCAGCGTTGACGTCCAGCTCCGCCAGGCCCCGCAAATCCCCCATACGTATCGCGGGATACGCTGTGGTTTCCCCCTACGACCCCTCAGACATTTCCGGTTCTCTCAACCGATTAGCGTACATACCTGCAGATCAGGCGATCGTCTGCCTGCGAGCACCACCCAAGCTTCATCGCCGACGTTCAGGCATTGTTGATCAATGTACCCTGCGAGAGGTCAACACGCGTGTAGACGTTGAAATCGAGACATACATAAGATCGCGCTGGCGTATAAGGCGCTCATGCTGACGCTGCTCATCACCGCATCGTCCGGGGCGTGCGTTGAACCAGTTTCTTCTGTCTATTCGAGCGGTTAGAAATTTTTGGATGACGTGATGCAGAATTGAAACGTCTTCTTACATCGTGTAAGCTCAACCTGCCATCCAAGGTATCCAGGACTTCGTCGGCGGAAAAAAAAGTATAGAGCTGGGAAGCTGGCTTCAGCAAAGGTTACAACACAGGCTGTTGTCCAAACGCACATCTATGAATGTCAGGAAGGGGTGGCTTTGCTTTTCATGCGCGAGCGCGAGCGCGAGAGGGGTCGATGTTGCTGGAACATGGGTGGCTGGGACAAAGGTGGGAGAGGCCGGTTTACCGGCGTTGCGAAGACTCATCATGACGCCCATTATTTCAATTTCAGAAAGATACCGCTGCAATGAATATATCTTGAGGACGGGGAGGATGTGGTGGGGGAGCGGCGCAAGATGAGAGACGACGGAGAGATTGGCGTCGGCGGAGGTGGCAGGAAGATAGAGGGCGAGGTCACCCGGATTCCCTCGCAAACGGCACGTTCCATACGGATGACGCAAGCGTAGCCTAGACAGCACGTTGCTTGACCACGCCCACACCAGGACTTGCGGTGGTGAACACGCGACATTGATATCGAGTCGGAGCCGGCTGGCAGTCCGGGGCTGCCGACCCGTTACTCCAGAGCCGAGGGCGCAGTCCTTTGTCCTGAACACGAGTATGGAGCACGATCCCGAACAATCGCGTCAACTAACCTTATGAAGGTTGCACGTACTCGAGAGTCCCCTCTCCGGCAGTTCATGAAATCGCTTTCCTCGTCCCATGGTAGGCATCCGGTCACATCTTGTGACATCATATCACGTATCCGGAG